CTGACTAGACGCCACATTTTCTTCAACTTCATATAAATACGGTGCTACAATACTGAGCTGAGACGTAAAGTAACGTTAGTAGTTACTAGCAGTTTCAACAAATCTTCTAAAACTCGACGGATGGCAAAGATTAGAAACGGCTTTTGGCTAAAACTCCTCGACATTAAAATCGTACCTGCTATCTTTGATGGCGGTCAGGCCGGAAGGACTGTTGCGTGAGCTAAACGGGGCAATGAAAGCGCTGACCCGGAAAACGCTTCTGTTACGCTGGCGTGACAGCGCCCCCTGCTGCCCGGGAAGAGGAAGTGTTTTTCATTTTAATGGGGTTTTCTCATTTCACTAATCTGTCTCTGGAATCAGTCTATGTACACTATGTTAAAGGGCGTTTTACTCCTAAAATGCATTTGGAGGTTTGAGGATGGAGGAGGCTGTGATGATCCACAGCTTTATCCTTTGCAAAAGTGTTTCTAATCTTCACCGAGTTTGGTGCATCAGTATATAAAATCCATAGCTCTTAATATTCTAATACAAATACCATTGTTGTTTAGTGAGACTTTTGATTCTTCTTGCCCTAAATGTCTAAATGTTTTTTTCTATATACATTGAAGGAAATAATTATTCCCCCAGAAACCACTGTTGGTGAGTACAGTGAGATGCTTCTTGCAGTTGGTGGAAATGTGAACCAATAGATCCTTTGGGTTTTTTGGCTGCTGACACACAACTTCACACAGACAGACACACAGCTCCTCCTTATTAACAGCTGGATTAGCTAATGCTAATAACACTTAACAAAACTTAAGGAGAAAGTTCAGAGGTCAACAAAGCTCCTGTTTTTTAAAAAAGTATTAAACAGTCTTCATGAATGTTAACCTGGCCGACACATATGGTAACATTAGCTGTTTACTATTAGCATAGTCCAAAAGCAAACCAATCCCCCAAGACAACAAAAGGGACATAGTCCAACACAAAAAGCCCAGAGGGCCAACCGCAGGTCCAACTTCGGCAATGGAACAGTTCAGGTGGGCAGCAACAATGGCGAAAGACTTTTGGTGGCCGGCGACGGCGTGGCATGGCAGGTGACCAGCAACGTGCTGGCAGTGCAGACTGTGACCGAACAGGATGTGGCTTGGCAGATCGTGGATGTGTAACTTGGCAGGACATTGATGTGCAGGCCGTCTCGCTCAGGCATGGCAGGTCGTGCATGGCAGGTCCAGGCAGTGCACTGTCCTCCAGCTTGGGTGCGGCAGATCCAGGTGGCACGTTGTCCTCCAGCTCAGCCGCGGCAGATCCAGGTGGCGCGTTGACGTCCGTCCGGGGTGTGGAAGTTTACCAGAAACCCACACACACAGACCAGTACCTCCTCTTTGACTCCCACCGCCCTCTGGGACACAAACTTGGAGTAATCAGGACCCTAAATCACTGGGCAGAAAATGTTCCCTCTAAACCAGAAGGGAAAAAGAGGGAACACACACATGTAAAGAAAGCTCTTAAAACATGTGGTTATCCTAATTGTTTTTTGATCATCAAATCAGCAAAGATGCACAGAAAAGAAGGTCAGACAGACAGGTCAACAGGACAACACTCGGCTGTCCATCTGCATCTTAAGGACAAAGGTCACTCTTTCAAGGATGCCGATGTTCACATTTTGGACAGATTAGACAGATTGTTTGAAAGAGGAGTGAAAGAAGCCATCTATGCCCATTGTGAACGACCATCTTTGAACAGAGCTGGTGGCTTATGACACCAGCTGTCTGCCATCTATAATCCAGTTTTGAGATTCCTTCCCAGATGCCTTTTAACTTAGAAGCAAAACCCAAGTTCACTGTTGCCGGTGGCCTAGCACAACAAACAGTACCTGTTTTAATGAGCTGACCAGGCCCAAAACACACAGTATCTGTGGCCACTGACCCCGAAATACACAGTAGCTGTGTAAGGCAGTGAGTGTATTTACAGTGATAAAAAGTGAACAACAATAGGTGACAATCCTCGCACTGTGGGTCCGTGCTGATTCTCCATGAATCCCACACAGTGCTCGTGTCCGTGGTGTAAGTTGCGAACTGCAATTCCCACATTTGTACAGATTATATATTGTCAACTACCCTGCTAATCAGTTAATGTGGTTGAAAACATTCACAAAACAAATAAAAATGGTTCTAAAAAAAGCATTTCTGTTTTCTTTTCTCTTCTCTGAAAGTAAACTTCATGTTTTTGAAAATGACAAAACTGGTCAAAAAGATCAAATTGTTACATTAAGAGAGTAATTATTGCAGTCCAATATCATCAGTCACGAATTTAGCATATTTGAATTACCTTTTTTGGAGGGGCTGCCATCTCCCCAGCCAGCATTTGCCTTGCTTTAAACTGTCTTATCTACAATTATTTATGATAAATAATCATGTCTTATTATAATATATAATAATAAGACAAGTGTGGAGTTAAAATGTTTCATCATCCAGTTCTGCAGAGAGTCGTACACTGTTCAAGGTATTGAGCCAATGTTAACTGTTCGAGGGCAAAAAGCCTTTAAACCTACATTTGAAGAGCTCCATACACCTTGATGTTTTAGAGTGAAGGGAATCATTTTGTACCTCGTTTGTGGTTTTGATAATGTCATTGATTAAAGATGTTGACATAATCATTGTTTGCTGTGTCTGAAAATAAAATCTGGTGTAAATCTAAAAATCCCTTAATATGTGGGGGCTAATTAGTTAAACTGATCATTTATTAGTAAATATTAAGTAGGTTTAACAACTGTGTACTCATAAATAATAAATTACTAGGATGTGCACGACTGGTCGACTACCTGACTAATCGTCGCTATTTTCACTAGTTGGTACCAGACTTAGTTGTTGTTTCATCTTATTGTTAAAATTAGTGTGAATGCTGATTAATTATTTTCAGTGTAGAGATCATAATCTTTATTATTATGTATTCCATATGTTTTGTGTATGCTATCGCCTTTAAAACCTTCAACTTAGAGCCCTCTACTTTTCGACATGGGTGTTTGTCTTTTTCTCATTTCTAACATTTACCCTCAAACCATAGTCACCTTGGTCTATGGTTTGTGGGATAGGATTTACGCCTCTGCCATTAATCTCACCAAAGAGCAGCCTCCTCCATCCAACTCTTCCACTGAGAACAAAATGAAAACAGCTCCCAAATTTTGTTTATAAATCAGAAGTGCAGGCTCTCTTTGCGCTGCCAACACATCCACATAATAAACTCTACAGAGTTAAAAAATATTTTTAGGATTTTGTAGGAGGCTGCTTATATTTCCATAAATGGACAATAACAAACAAACATAATTAAATTACAAGTAGGAGATTTTTGTTAAAAGAGGTAAATTCATGTTAATGGATTTGTGTTAATTTCATGTTCAGTATTTTACATAAAAGCACAAGTTTATATTTAATGTGTCAATTAGTTATAATTTTGGGACTTACAAGCGTTACTGTAATCCGATTACTTTTTTCAAGTAACAAGTAAAGTAAGGGATTACTATTGCAAAAAAGTAATTATATTACTGTTACTTTCTCGTAAGTACGCTGTATTACTAAACTGTGATTTTGTTTGTGAGAATGTCTCATGACAATGACGTATGAGTGTGCGACATCTGTGGCAGCAACAGATGTGTGTTGCTGGAGAGAGTACGACCATGCAGCGTTTAAAGCTTGGAAGTACTGACATTACTTTGAGTTTGATTCTGAAAAAAAGTGACAAAAACCTTAGTGTCTGCTGTACACTCTGTGTGGGAAGAAAACCTCTTTCTACAGTGAAAAATTAAACTTCAAATCTGAGCAAACCCCCAGATCCCCCCATTGACATGAAAGCTGCGGCACCAGGAAAACCTCCACCGGCGCCACTCCTGCTAAACAGGTGAAAATAGATTTAAGAACAACAGGAGTGCTGCTGAATCTTTGATTTATTTTTTTTGCAGTGTTTTACTTTCATATATTTGAAAGAATGAGTGTAAACACACACACAAAAAAAAAACATTTTATTTTATATGCTGGAATATACAGGAAATAGGGTTAAATGTTAACAAATTTCTTCAAGTCAAACACTGTTGCATATAATTTAACTGCAATGCACATAAAGTCAAAAGATTAAAATTAATAAAACAAGTTTTTAAAAGAGACTTCAATTTTGTATGATGGATTATGCTTAAACAATAGAATTATGTTGGGTTTCATGTTTTTAAAAAGTAACTAAGTAATAAGTAGCTAATTACTTTTGGAAATAAGTATTCAATAAAGTAACAGGATTACTTTTTTGGAGGAGTAATCAGTAATTAGCAAATAATTGCTATTTTCAAGTAACTTGAGCAACACTGCTTACAAGTGGGATAATTATGTAATAGAATGTTTTATAGTTGTAGTGGTTGTCTTTGAATGCTGACATACTGTATAAAAAGATAAGATAAGATAAGATAAGATAAGATAGATCTTTATTGTCACTGTTACCAGAACAATAAAGCACAGTAGAACAATGAAACACACACACACTATGTTTGGCACTCACAGGAATATAAATATACTGTCATTTACCAGAATGAACTGCTTCTATTTCTAAGCATAGAGGAAAGGTGAAGTTTGGTGTGAAGTCTTTATATGCACCTGTGTAACCCTATCCTATTGCTATCATACGGAAGAGGATTAGGGCCACTGGAAAAAAAATCTGAGAAAAAAGTCAGAATTCTGACTTTAATCTCAGAATTCAGGAAAAGAAGAAAAAAAAAGACGTACCCACTTTTTTCCCCCCCAGTGGCCCTAATCCTCTTCAGTACTATCAAGTGTGAACAGTTCTTTCTGGTAATTTTTCGTGGGTTTTGGTGGGGAAGCCGTCCTTCATAATGTTAAAGTCACGGGACATTTTTGAAAAAAACCTCTAAAGGTGCTTTTGTTTAGACAGGAGGTTATGCGTTACGTTACGCCCTTCCCGTACCTCTGCTTTCCCATCAGCCATTGCGGACAGGAAGTGTCCTCTGCTTTTGGCGCGGTCCTGACCGCGGCCATCTTGGAATCACATCACTGTGTAAAGCAAGCGTTCGAGACACTGCGTGGTCCTCCGGCTCATTGATTGCGATATCCTGGCGCTAACTATCAAGAGGAGCTGTTTTGCATCCCGATCTAACAAAGCCAGTAGATACAATCATTTATTTTATTTTGCTCGCTGAGTGCTCAGGAAAAGTCGGGCAGAATTTTGAAGGAACCGCTATGGCGACTGCAAGCGCTACCCCAAGCCGTGAAGCTGGCCGGTCAGCGGCCTCCACTCCTCTCTCCCCGACTCGGATTTCTCGTTTACAGGAGAAACAGGAGTTGCAGCATCTGAACGACAGGCTGGCTGTGTACATCGATCGCGTGCGGGCGCTGGAATTGGAGAATGACCGGCTAATGGTCAAAGTGTCGGAAAAAGAAGAGGTGACTACGAGAGAGGTTAGTAAATGAAAATATTTCAGCAAATGTAATAT